CACACGCTATGCCCTTGTTCTTGCAATTTTGCACATGCTAGGCCCTTGTTGTTACTATTTTGCAAATGCTAGGCCCTTGTTCTTGCTATTTTGCGCAGGCTAGGCCCTTGTTCTTGCAATTTTACGCACGCTAGGCCCTTGTTCTTGCAATATTGCACACGCTAGGCCCTTGTTCTTGCAGTTTTGCACACGCTAGGCCCTTTTTCTTTCTATTTTGCACAGGCTAGGCCCTTGTTCTTACTATTTTGCACACGCCAGGCCCTTGTCCGCTAGTGTTGTTTTAGTAGAAGACCTAATCTAGTGGACTAGCAAGAAGATGGCAGTAACTGCATCTGTACAAACATAAGTAATGCGCTGGTCAGTCTGGTCGGTATGCGCCCCTGTAGTACAGGTACCATGTACAACTAGAAAGTCTATATCTGCCAAATTACATAGGTCCTATAGGTTAAAACATGGTCGGGGGTTGGGCAAGGGTATGATTTAAAGGAAATGGGAGTACATTTGGTATTCATTGTATTTGTATAGAGGGGATAATGCGCCGGTCGGTTTGGTCAGTATGCACGCTTTTGTGCGGGTACAAGGTGGAACTGGAACTTTGAAATCTCTAAAACTGTGTTGATAGGAAAGGCTATAACCTAGTGTTGTTGAAGTACTAAGCCTAATCTAGTGGACTGGCAATAAAATGGCACTAACTGGGTCTCTACAAACATATGTAATGCGCTGCTCAGTTTGGTCGGTATGCGCGCCTGTAGTGCAGGTACCATGTACGACTGGAATATCTATATCTGCCAAAATACATATATCCAATAGGTTAAAACATGGTCGGGGGTTGCGGGATGGTATAATTTAAAGTAAATGGGAATACATGTGGTATTCAATGTATTTGTACAGATAAAATAACGCATCAGTCGGTTCGGTCAGTATGCACGCTTGTTTGAAGGTACAAGGCGAAACTGGAATTCTGGAATATCCCAAACTATGTGTGTCGGAAAGGTTGTGAGCTAATGTTGTTGAAGTAGAAGGCCTTATCTAGTGGACTGGCAAGAAAATGGTACTAACTGCATCACTACAAACATAAGTAATGCGCTAGTCAGTCTGGTCGGTATGCGCGTCTCTTGTGCAGGTACCATGTACAGCTGGAAAGTGTATATCTCCCAAATTACATAGATCCGGTAGGCTAAAATATGATCGGGGATGGTAAATGGTATAATTTAGTGGAAATGGGAATGCATATGGTATTTAGTGTACTTGTTCAGAGAGAATAATGTGTTGGTCAGTTCGGTCAGTCTGCACGCTTGTGTGCAGGTACAAGGCAAAATTGGAACTCTGAAATCTCCCAAATTACGTGGATCATAAAAAATATATGCTAGTGTTGTTGAAGTGGAAGGGCTAATCTAGTGGACTAGCAAGAATATGGTATCAACTGCATCTCTACAAACATAAGTGATGCGCTGGTCAGTTTGGTCAGTGTGCGCGCCTGTAGTGCATTTACCATGTTTGACTGGGTGTCGTGTCACGCGGTTGCTCTTGTCTGGGCCTATTTCCAAGAGAGCAAGGGCTTGGGAGGGTTGCAAGCATCTTCGGCCTTCGGCGCTCGCGAATGAAGAGCGCTCGCTGCACGTCCTGCACATGTGCGGATCCTTCCGCATTTTGGAGGGAAAGCGCTCGTTCCGAGCGTTTTTTTTTTCCCTCCCGTCACGTGGCTGCGCTTGTGTGGGCCTATTACCAAGCAAGCAAGGGCGTGGGAGGGTTGCGAGCGTCATCGGCCATCGGCGCTCGCGATTGAAGAGTGACCGCTGCACTTCCTGCATATGTGCGGATCCTTCCGCGTTTTGGGGGTGGAAGCGCTCGTTCCAAGCGTTTTTCTTCCACCAGGTCATGCGCCTGCGCTTGTTAGGACCTATTACCAAGCCAGCAAGGGAGTGGGAAGGTTGCGAGTATCGTCGCTCATTGGTGCTCGCGTATAAAGAGCGCCCGCTGAACTTGTGCACATGTGCCGATCCTTCCGCGTTTTGGGGGTGGACGCGCTCGTTACGAGCGTTTTTCTTCCGCTGGGTCATATGGCTGTGCTTGTCTGGGCCTATTACCGCCAGCAAGGGCGTGGGAGGGTTGCGAGCATCCTCGGTCATCGGTGCTCGCGTATGAAGAGCGTCCGCTGCACTTTCTGCACGTGTGCAGATCCTTACGCGTTTTGGGGGTGGAAGCACTCGTTACAAGCGTTATTCTTCCGCTAGGTCATGCGGTTGCACTTGTCTGGGCCTATTGCCAAGCCAGCAAGGGCGTGGGAGGGTTGCGAGCATCATCGGTCATCAACGCTCGCGAATGAAGAGCGTCGGCTGCACATCCTGCACATGTGCGGATACATTCCGCGGTTTTGGGGTGGAAGCGCTCGTTCCGAGCGTTTTTCTTCCGCCGGGTCATGCGGCTGTGCTTTTCTGGGCCTATTACCAAGCCAGCAAGGGCGTGGGAGGGTTGCGAGCATCATCCCTCGTCGGCGCTTGCGAATGAAGAGCGCCGGCTGCCCTTCCTGCACATGTGCGGATCCTTCCGCGTTTTGGGGGTAGAAGCGCTCGTTTCGAGCGTTTTTCTTCCGCCGGGTCATGTGGCTGCGCTTTTCTGGACCTATTACCAAGCCAGCAAGGGCGTGGGAGGGTTGCGAGCATCATCCCTCGTCGGTGCCCGCAAATGAAGAGCGCTCGCTGCACTTCCTACACATGTGCGGATCCTTCCGCGTTTTGGGGGTGGAAGCGCTCGTTCCGAGCGTTATTCTTCTGCCAAGTCACGTGGCTGCACTTGTCTGCGCCTCTTACCAAGCCATCAAGGGCGTGGGAGTGTTGCGAGCTTCATCGCTCATCGGCGCTCGCGAATAAAGAGTGCTCGCTGCACTTCCTGCACATGCGCACATGCGGGGGTGGAAGCGCTCATTCTGAGTGTTTTTCTTCCACCGGGTCATGTGGCTGTGCTTGTCTGGGCCTATTACCAAGCCAGCAAGGGCATGGGGGGGTTGCGAGCATTGTCGCTCATCGGCGCTCGCAAATGAAGAGCATCCGCTGCACTTTCTGCACACGTGCGGATCCTCACGCGTTTTGGGGGTGGAAACGCTCCTTCCGCCAAGTCACGCGGCTGCGCTTATCTGGGCCTATTACCAAGCCAGCAAGGGCGTGGGATGGTTGCGAGCACCGTCGCTCATCGGCGCACGCGAATGAAGAGTGCCCGCCGCACTTCCAGCTCATGTGCGGATCCTTTCGCGTTTTGGGGGTGGAAGCGCTCGTTTCGAGCATTTTTCTTCCGCTGAGTCATGTGGCTGCGCTTGTTCGGGCCTATTACCAAGCCAGCAAGAGCGTGGGAGGGTTGTGAGCGCCATCGCTCATCGGCGCTCGCGAATGAAGAGCGGCGATGCAGTTCCTGCACATGTGCGGATCCTTCCGCGTTTTGGTGGTGGAAGCGCTCGTTCCGAGCGTTTTTCTTACGCCGGGTCACGTGGTTGCGCTTTTCTGGGCCTATTACCAAGCCAGCAAGAGCATGGGAGGGTTGCAAGCGTCATCGCTCATCGGCGCTCGCGAATGAAGAGCGCCCGCTGCACTTCCTGCACATGTGTGGATCCTTCCGCGTTTTGGGGGTGGAAACTCTCGTCGAGCATTTTTCTTCCACCTGGTCACGTGGCTGCGCTTCTCTGGGCCTATTACCAAGCCAGCAATGACGTGGGAGGGTTGCGACGAGCATCATCGGTCATCAGCGCTCGCGGATGAAGAGCATCCGCTGCACTTCCTGCACATATGCGGATCCTTCCACTTTTTGGGGGTAAAAGCGCTCGTTCCGAGCGTTTCTCTTCCGCCGGGTCACGTGGCTGCGCTTGTCTGGGCCTATTACCAAGCCAGCAAGGGCGTGGGAGGGTTGCGAGCATCATCGGTTATCGGCACTCGCGAATGAAGAACGCCCGCTGCACTTCCTGCACATGTGCGGACCCTTCCGCGTTTTGGCGGTGGGGTTTTGGTGTGGGTGGGTGTTGTTTTGTTGGGGAAGGGTGATGATTTGTGGGTTGACAAATTGGTGGGTGGTTGTGGCCAGATTGGTGGATGGGTGGTGGGTTGTTGGGGGAGGTAGCGTACTGGGTTGTAATACGGGGGTGCTGGTGCTTTTGGCAGATGAGGCATGGGAGAGGTTTGAAACCACTGGGTGGGTAAGTTGAGAGCATTGCTCGGAGGTTTGGGTGTGTTGAGCATTTTGGGCGATGCGAGTGCCATTGAAACTTCCTAACATAGGTCAAGCAATGTTCTGTGTGCGATGTACTCATGTGTGAAAGCTGGGCAACATTCCTCGTTTGTCGTGAAAATGTTTGTCAAACGACTCATTAACAAAAAACCTTTGGCATGACATGAATTTAGAAATGCAATACTGGTTCAATGACCCTTGATGTTCTAGTAATAGTCTTAAATTTTGTCCATTGAGTGGTAGGAGTTAATCTGTTTGGATGCCTATTGCTGTAGTATGGTGTCCTTATAGTGAAAAAAAATAATGCCCGTACTTAGCGGAACTAGCCACCTTGGCACCTAGCTTCGTTACAGGCGTTTTCCGTTTCGCCCCGTTCGCCTAGTCGGCTGGGCTGCTCCCTCCGACCACATGCGTCTGGTTGTTCACCACCACCACAAGGCCCTTGCCTGCCTGTCACCTCCTCCGTTGCCCTTCCCCCTTGCCTCGCCGCTTGTATGCCCTGCCTCCCAGATCATGGGGTTATTATCTTGAGCTGTTTGCGGAAATGAGCGCTTTAGTCCGTCGGCACCTCGCTTCAATCGACGCAGTACATATATCGTAGAAGAGAGTGCGTTTATCGACCTGCCATTGATTTCTGTTTTCCGTGCCGCACTGCACCCTGCGGGCTGTCGACATGCTCTTCGCTGTTTGCTCACGTAGCCTGAATGACGTGGCGTTGAGACACGTGGACGATTAGTATTCCGTGCGGCTCGAGTCCGATCTTCGTTATTATCCCGCCTTGTGTGCTGATGGCGTCGCGTCCACCTGTCTCCCGAAATCGACTGACTCTAACCTCCGTGGCGCGTGTAGCATTTCTGATCGCATTAACCCTTAATCCTCTCAGCGTTCACGCGGCGGCAGGCGCCGATTTAAAGACACTGACAGCCGATGCGGGCGACTTAGAGGCGCGTAATGCGCGCAGCGGCGGCTGGCAGAGGAAGCAACTGCTCGACCCGGATCGCGATGTCGCCGCGCTCTCGTTGCCGCTGCGCAGCGTTGCGACGAAAGCTTCGAACGCCGCAGAACGCGGGTCTGACGCGAGTGCATTGGACGATACCAGCAGCGTGTTTCACAGTGACAGCAGGAGCGATCCCCGCGGTAGCGGTAAGAGTGGCATTAGCAACGGCGGCAGGGGCGGCATAAGCAGTGGCGGCAGGCCGCAGTGGCCGAACCGGCCGCACGTGTTCGACCTGGCGGACTTTGGCGGCGTGGGCGACGGCGCGACGGACAACACGCGCGCGCTGCAGAACGCCGTGTACGCCGTCAGCGGCGTGGCGGACAAGGGCGGCGGGCAGCTGTACGTGCCGCCCGGCGTGTACGTGACGGGCAGCGTCAACCTCACCTCCGCCATGACGCTCTTCCTCGCGCGCGGCGCCACCATCCGCGGCAACCCGGTACGCGCGCGCGCAGCGGGAACCGGGGGCCGGGAAGGGTGAGAGTAGCTTGCGCTGCATGTGGGGAGGCTTGCAGTGCGCGGAGAAGACGCAAGGGGCGGTTGTTGGGCGGTGTGGCAGGTAGCAATGTGGTGCCCGTCCCTGCTCCATGCCTCTTTGTAACCCTCCCATCACCCTTCCCTCCGTGTCTGCATGCCTGCGCCTGCATGTGCGCATGTGTGCGTGGCTGCATGCCTGCATACCCTTATGTATACAGGACCCAGCACTATGGCCGGTGATACCAGCGCTGCCATCGTATGGGCGCGGCAGGGAGATGCCCGGGCCGCGCTACAGCAGTCTGCTGCACTGCCACAACCTCACAGACGTCGTCATCACCGGTGCGTGTGTGTGCTTCCACCACACGGCTGTAGCTCAGCCTGTTCACTGCGCGCGCGCTACAGCAGTCTGCTGCACTGCCACAACCTCACAGACGCTGTCATCACCGGTGTGTGTGCGTGCATGCATACGGCTGTAGCGAGAAGAGTCCACACATGCAAAAGCGCTGACCTCCCCACCTTCCCCCATTGCGCCCTACCTCCCCCCATCCCCGCCCTACCTCTTCCCCTTGGCCTGTCCGAGCAGGCGACCACGGGGTGATCGACGGGGGAGGCGCGGAGTGGTGGGAGAGGAAGCGCGGGGGGGTGCTGCAGCACTCGCGGGGGGCGGTGGTGGAGGCGCTGTGGAGCTCTGCTGTCACCGTCGCCAACGTCACTCTCGCTAATGCCCCCGCCTGGGCTCTGCACCCCGTCTACTGCACGTCCGTGCCCCTCTCCCTCCTCCCTGCTTTGTTTTGCCCATGTGATCTTGTGCTTTTATACCCTTGTGACGGTCTCTCCTTCACATGGCTCTGCCAGTCTCCGTTCTTGCCGCGCTCACCCGTCACACCCCTCACTTGCATCCGTGTGCCTGTGTTGGTGCGTGCAGCCACGTGCAGGTGTCCAACGTGACTATCACCGCGCCTCCTGACTCGCCCAACACCATCGGGATTGTCATCGGTAATTCTCCAATCCTCTGCTCCCACCACCTCTCCTTCGCATCAATTCATCATGAGTGTGGATTGTTGTTTCTACCGTAAGCATTTCCCCTTTGACTGACACTCCTCCCCATGCCTCCTTGCCCGCACAGACTCCAGTGAGGATGTGCTTATAGAGGGCGTGACGGTAACCACAGGGGGGGGGCGGCATCAGCATAAAGAGCGGATGGGACGAGTACGGGCTGGCGTTCGCCCGCCCCTCCCACTCCATCACCATCCAGCACTCGCACATCCAGACGCCGCTCGCCGCCGCCCTCTCCATCGGCAGCGAGATGTCGGGCGGCGTGCACTCGCTGCGCTGCCGCCACCTGTCAGTCTCTCACTCGCTCACCGCCTTCCACCTGCGAACCGCGCCAGGCCGAGGGGGGTACATCCGAGACGTGCTAGTGCAGGACGTGACTATGGTGAACGTGACTGTGGCGCTGGCCTTCCTCCCCACATGCAGCAGCCACCCAGATGACCACTTTGACCCGTCGGCTCTGCCCCGCGTGGCCAACATCTCCTTTGCTTCCATCTCCGGCTCGGGCATCTCTCAAGCCGGCAGCCTTATTGGCCTGCCTGCAGCCCCTTTTAGAGGTGTTTCGTTATCGGATATAAACCTGCAGCTGGTGGATGGCGGGAAGGGCTTTAAGTGCCAGGATGTGGAAGGGCATGCACGGAATGTGTCTCCTGCCATCTGCCCTGAGCTGTCCGCGTTAAAAGCTGACCCACTAAAGTGTAGAGGATGTTCTTCCGTCAGGGAGCTTCATTAACGGTAATGGAGAGGGTGAGCTGGATGCTAGAAGCAAGTGAAGTATGAGGAAGGTTTCGCTGTAGCAGTAGTGACATACGGTATGAGAGTGGCTGCCTGCCTGTGTCTGCATAAGGCTGTAGCAGGGGTTCGTAACACCTCGTTATGGTTAACCCCCCTTGCACTAGGTTATGCACTCATTAATAAGCCAGTATTCTACCTACCGTATGTTGATATGGAAACATCATGTGTGGATGAAGTGAACTACAGCAAGTGTGTCAAAATGAGGAATGATGATGCCATTGATGTTGGTTGGGGTACATATAACAAACCCTAACTTCTGTACCCCCTATGACAAACCTCACTACAGGCTACAACATTTGACACACCCCCATAGTCTAAGTGAGGGGTGTCTAGCAAAATAAAAAAAAAGAGTACGGTCACAAGACCAGTCCAAAAGAAAACAAAGCTCAGGGTGGATCACAACGTCACCACACACTCTGAGCACAAGCAACAGTGGCCACAAGGCCAGTCCAAGAGATCACAAGTATATATAGTAAGTGTACAGACGAAGCAGGCAATAAACTCAAGTCTACGCATGACTAGAACCTGTGTCAACAAGGCCTAACTGCACACAACACCTCTGGTGGTCACAAGGCGGAAGCGCCTTGGTGAAGATGTCTGCAGTGTTGGCCTCGGACTCTACAAACTCGAAGCGAGCCTGTCCACGCCTCTACAACTCTCGCAGAAGAAAGTACCTGACGTGAATGTGCTTCACTCTGCTCTCCAGTCGCGGCTCACGGCAGAGGAGGATCGACGCCTTGTTGTCAGTAAACAAGGTCGGTGCAGAGCTCGGCCGCTCACCAAGGTCGGCGAGCAAGAATGTCAACCACCGTAACTCCTGTGCCGCCATGGCACCAGCGTAAATCTCAGCCTCAGCTGTAGAGGTCGAGACAGAAGAGGAGCGCGTGGAACGCCAGGAAACAGCTCCAGAACCCAGACTGAAACAGTACCCCTGAGTAGACCTGTGAGTCTCAGCGTCGTCAGCGTAAGAGGAGTCACAGTGACCAGTAAGTACGACAGACTGCTGCCCTCCAAGAACTAGCCCCACGCCTGATGTAGTCGCTAGGTACTTCGCCACCCTCACAGCTGCCGTCCAGTGAACAGGACGGTGTCTCCCTGGCGCAACAAAGCGCGCAAGGATGCTGAGAGGGAAGGCGAGGTCCGGGCGAGTACAAGTCATCAGGTACATGAGGCAACCCACAAGCTCTGCGTAGGGACCACTAGGCTCAAACGGCTCGTCAGGAAAGGGACCAGAGAGTCTGTGGTCAACAGCTAGAGGTGTGCGCTGTACGGTGGAGTGCTGAAGCCCGAACCGCTGAAGGACCTGCTGCACCATGTGTGACTGTGAGAGTGTAATGGTGCGAGCGGCTCTGTCCCTGGTGATCTGCAGGCCAAGGTAGTGGCGCAGCTCACCAAGATCAGTGCACGTGTGTCTCTTCTGCAGTTCGGACTTCACGTCTGCCAAAGCAACCCTGTCCGAAGTGGCGAAAACGATGTCGTCGACGTAGACCAGAACAAAGAACGGTGTGGAGCCACGACGAACGAACAGCGACGGGTCGGCAGAAGACGGCTGGAACCCAAGGTCAGAGAGGGTAGAACGCAGAGTGTCGTGCCACTCACGAGGGGCCTGGCGAAGACCGTAAACAGGTCGCCTCAGCCTCCACTGGGTCCCAGGAGGGAAGGTGCCAGTGAAGGCCGAGGGACGACGCAACCAGACCTCCTCGTGTAGGCTGCCCTGAAGGAAAGCAGTGGAGAAGTCGAGAGAGTGTAACTCGTAGTCTCTCTGTGCTGCTACGTGTAGTAACACCCGAAGAGTGGTCATCTTCGGGGTAGGTGCGAAGGTCTGAAAGAAGTCAACTCCCTCGCGCTGACTGAAACCTCTAGCCACGTAGCGCGCCTTGAAGACCGGGGGAGATCCCGGTGGCCGCTTCACCCTGTAGATCCACATGCCGTCGACTACGTTCGCCCCAGGGGGGGGAACCTCATCGACGTAGGTGCCTGTGGATCTGTAGGAGGCCATCTCTGCGTCCATGGCAGCTCTCCACTGAGAGGCCCAAGGCCCTGACACTGCCTCAGCGTAAGTGCGAGGAGTCGGAATGTCAAGGGCGTCGGGGTCACCCTCAGGGGCGAGGAGCATGGCACAGAGATGAGGGGAAGCGGCCGCCAGGAACTCTAGCTCAAACTGCCTGTCCTCTAGGGCGTCACAGCCAAGGGCAGACACACCCCCGACGGCCAGAGGACTGGTAGGAGGAGCAGCCACAAGCGTGGTGGCGTAGTCAAGGCGGCGGGTAGAGGCAAAGTCAGTAACTGCGGCAGTAAGAGCGGACACAGAGGACACAGAGGCACGAGGGTGAGTAACAAGAGAGGCGAGAACACGAGAGAGAACAGGACGGTACGTGCGGTAGTAGTCAGTGACAGGAGTAGGGAGCGACACAGTGAGGGCCGACTCAGGAGGAGACGGAAGCACAGACTGAGACGGACGAGGTGGACTAGAAAGAAGGAAGGCAGTACGAAGGTCAGTGAAGGGAACAGGAGACGAGGGACGAGCACGAGGGGAGCGACGAGTAGCCCAAGAACGAGACGGAGGAGGAGAGGACAAAGGCGGAGAACTGGGGAAAACAGCGGGGGAGGAGTCAGGAGGAGGAAACGTGGGACCGTAGACAGGAGGAGAGGCGGAGGAGGGAGGAGAAGGGGAGGGGAGACCAAAGGTCCGAAGACCCGAGACAGGAGGAGGAAGTGGCTGCTGCTGCTGCTGCTGCGACTGCTGCTGCTGCGGAAGCGGCTGCTGCTGGGACTGCTGCTCCTGCGGGTCCAGCTGCTGCTGCTGCTGCTGCTGCTGCTCCTGCGGCTCCAGCTGCTGCTGCTGCTCCTCCAGCCGCTGTAACTCCCTCTCCTCTCTCTCCAACGCCAGCTGCTCGTCACGGGCACGGCGAACACGAGCCTGGTGCCTAGTCGGGTAGGGGTGGGGGGGCGGAGTAGTGTCCGAAGCAGCGGTAGCTCCAGAGTCCACCCCCGAAGAACCAGGCGCACCACCCCCAGAGGCAGCACTAACACCAGCTCCAGACCCAGGCTCACCAGAACCCGAAGGAGGCGCACTCTCACCCCCAGTGTCCGCGCGACCAGCACCAGCTCCCGGACGACAAGAGTCCTCTGCACCCACCGGGTCAGCTCCAACTCCAGAACCAACTCCAGCTCCAACTCCAGCTCCAACCCCAGCACCCCCAGAACCAGAAACTCCAGTGCCAACTCCAGCTCCAACTCCAGCTCCAACTCCAGCTCCAACTCCACCACCCCCAGAACCAGAAACCGGTACAGGAACAAGCGCAGCACCAACCTCTTGAGAGCTAGCACCTGCGGCACGCTGCGAGGAGGACTGTGGGGAGGGAGGCTGTACCGGAGAGGCTACCGAAGGAGGAGGGGTAGCCTGGGACACACCCGACGGGGCTGGACCAGGGGGGGGAGGCTGTACCGGGGGAACAGGAGGGGGAGCGGCAGTCAGGAAGAGGGGGGGAGGAGGAACCTGGAGACCTCGACTGGGGTACCTGACGTAGTACGGAGTGGACTCCTCGAAACGGACATCACGGGAGTCAAAGAACCGGTGAGAGGGAGGGTGGTAAAAGGTGAAGTCAGAGGAGTCCTCCGGGAAACCAAGGAAGACACAGGGGACGGCACGAGGCGAGAGCTTGTCCGCGGAGGTGTCGCGGACAAGAGCCAAGCACCCCCAGACACGAAACCGCGACGCAACACCAGGGGACCCTGTCCAAAGACTGGTCGGTGAAACCTCTGGTCGAGAGACACGTGGCCAGAGGTTCAGCTGGTGCGCGGCGTACCTGACCGCGTAGGGCCACAGAAAATGGGGGGCACAGGCGTGAGTCAGGGAGGTGCGGGCGATCTCCATGACCAGGCCTATGCGGCGCTCAGCAACCCCATTCTGCTGTGGGGACTCTGGAAGCGTCCAGGACTGACGAATGCCCTGCTCGCGACAGAATCCAGCGAGAATGCCGGAGCGAAACTCACCCCCACGGTCGGAGTGGAGGCAGCTGACACGACGACCACGAGTGTCCTCGGTGGTGAGCAACCACCTGATCAGCGTAGAAGTCACCTCAGACTTCTTCGCCAGAGGGAACACTCTGGTGTAGCGGGAGAAGTCGTCAACGACCACCAGAAAGTAGCGCTCACGCTCAGGGCCTAGACGAGGGGCGGGGCCCCAGACGTCCAAGTGAAGCGTCTCAAAAGGCTCGGTGGCCGGACGAAGGGAGGAGGAGTGAGGGGTGGCGCGCAGCCGACCCTCGACGCAGGGACCACACGGCGGCGCAAGCGAAGGCGGCAGCGACGGCAAGACACGTGGGAGGCCTAGGACAAGACGCTGACTAGACATAGCGCGCAGACGAGGAAGGGACGGGTGCCCCATCCGGTGGTGCCACAGAACGGTGGGGTGGGCAAGCGACCGGCAGGAGCACGACGCAGCGACTGGAGCAGACGTAGGAACCTGACACGACACAGACACCTGGGGGGACGAAGCAACCTGGCGAGACGCGGGGACCCGAACGGGGGGGGGAACCGGGGGCAGTGGCAGTAGGGGCGGCTGCTGGTGCGACCGCTGGTGCAGCTGCTGCTGCTGCTGCTGCTGCTCCGGCTGCGGCTGCTGCTGCTGCTGCGGCTGCTGCTGCGGCGCACGCGGGCCAGTGCGAAGAGTGTAGAGACCTGAGCCCGGCTCAGCAGTAAAGGTAGCAAGAGGCTGGTAAGAGTCTCCGTCAACACACACCGCAGTCTCTCCAGAAGGCTCAAACCACACACCCACGTGCTGACTCACGAGGGGTCGCACGCCCACCAAGTTCCGGGAGAACGAGGGGACGTGAAACCCAGTGAGAGACCCGGAGGGAGAAGCAGGACACGGTAAAGTGGTAGTGTGACGTGCAGTGACTGGTCCCGTAGTGGGATCAGCCAAAGCCACAGAAT